TCGGTAAATATCAATCAAAATTCAGATATACAAATGATCCGATAGTGCCATGTTTGCTTGAATATCTCCTAAGCCGCATACAATATCAACCATATTACCGATCCCAACACGATCTCTTATCAATAAAATATCAATAACAGAAATAAATGATTGACAGCATCGGGAGAGAATTATTGGCTTAAGATTGTGAGCAAAAAAACCTTTCTGATTCAGTTTATCGGGTACAACTTCGAAGATTCGGTCGAACAGATCATGATCAATCGGTTTTGTTTCATTTGAGCTGAATGGAATAATTTCGTCGTGTGCCACGCAATCCATACCATTTATCACCGTCAATAACTTTTCGCCACGAACACTCGCTTCACCCAAATACGTCGTTATATCCACTGGAAAACGCTGAAAAGCTACAGTTAATTAACCGCAGCCAATAATATCACCCATAGATCTGCTAATAACATAACAACTTATTTATTGCAAAGTTTGCATAAGCTATAAAAACTAGCGAAATGATTTCAATATGTATAAGAAGCAAAATTGAACGAGAATGTACCATGGATCGCCAATCACCACGATGTATCAATACCTGATAATAAGGCAAAACATCAGTTTTTGATATCACATCACCTCTGCAATTTCATACTCATTGAATGAACCCCTAAAGAACAATCGTAGTAGTGAAAATAACATAAGCTATAGTTAGTGTCGCAGTCTCTTTTACGATCATTTTAGTGGATTGCATATTCTGAGAGCATTTTATTCACTGACCAGGAAACGAAATAAAAAAGAAATAAATTTATGTTGAAAGCTCGACGATGAAGCATCTGAACGCTCGAACGTGCCACTGAGTAAATGCGTAAATGAACAGAGAATTGCTCACTTTGGTGACGTCTTTGGTTTTTCGTGTAACGGGCACTTGAATGAGCAAATAACAATACCGCGATAGGCAAATACCTTATGCAGAAACAACTGAAAGGATCGGTAACTATACGATCATTAATTATAACGCTGAGCGATACAATCAAATTATTTAAGGCTGTTGTTGTTAATCGAGTCCAAATGGAAATATCTGAGACTTTAGCGCTTCAAATGAAAAAATCGTTCAGTGCTACGAAAACGGCACTTCCGTCGAACAAGTCAGTACGAGCCGGACTGAACAATTATACTACCACAAGCGAAACACTCATTCACCTGTCCAGCATCGTACGGACCCTCAGAAAGCTTCTTGAGTGGAAGTAAACGACCAATTTCTTTTAATGATGCACCATTATTGCCAGCGTTAGCTGTAGTACCCGAACCACGAAACCTTCAAAATCGTTCTCTTGTTGAAAAAGAGAAAACAGCTGAGCTGAGTGCGAACAATAGTTTAAACTTGATGCATGCAAAATGTCGTTTTTTAAGATGGAATGATGCAAAACGAGTTATTTGAAAACATAATTGCACTCCAATCAACGCAACCTCGCTTGTCGTCGTGCTGATGAACCGAAAAGGCGTACTGTCGAATAAATATTGAAAGTCGTCCTCGCTGAGGACAGCACACTAGTCATACCCTTAATGTGTTGTAATAGCTTACATGAACAGATATTAATAGTTGGCAAACATACTCCATCAATGTCTGCACGAAGATAGAACAGAAAATATGGACTGAGATAAAATTCAAGATTNCCAACTACTGAAGCAATTTTTGAGCAATTGAAACATAATAAACACAAAGACATTGAAGATTTACATCATGAAGCGGAAAAAATATGAGTTTATCTGATCGAATTGTCTTCGGCCTATGAAAAATTCTGATGTGAGGAACGACTTTTGAATCAGAAAAATTTTCGAAAAATGAAAAACAACATTGAACATTCAATGCTCAAAACAGATACATAAGACAATAAAATAAATGCGAAAGTATTTGATGTGATCGATCTTGCGAATGATAATAAAAGCAAATAAGCTGACGAAGAGTGTGATAAAAACTTTTATTACAGTGTGACTGATAAGCAAGAATATCATATGACACAACATAATATATAAGTCAAATCACTACATATAACAATCGAATGGAATCTGGCATGAACTCTCTCTAACTACAAGATTCTTTTAAAGCCGTATGAATCGCGCAAATCCCGAATGACAAATTTTCGTACCGAACCTTACTGAATTTGGCATCTTCTATCATTCTTGAGAATTCTACCTGAAATTTTGCGAAATTATTCTTTGTGAAAAGAATTGGCCATAATGCAAAACTTATATGAAACAACATCGTTGCTAAGAATAAACGAACCCCCTTCCTCCATAACAAATTAACGAACCTGTTTCGGGAATTTACGAATGCTTTCAACGAGATATTTATAGCTGTTATAATCACTAGCGATCACTTGGCCCATAATCGGAATGACTTGAAAACTGTAGATGTCATAAAAGAATTTCAATGGTGAAGCAACTTCACTGAATTCAAGACATGCAAAACGACCACCAGGTCTTAGCACTCGATATGCTTCTCTCAGAACCTGAAAACAAAGAACGAATCTTACGACTGTTCAACGAATAACGAATTCACAAATATATTATTCATATGCTTCTATTGAAATCTCAAACAAAATAATTCAAGGATCCGCAATAGTAAAATAATAATTTGAGCCAAAAGAGGTCAAATCAAGATGATAACGCACTACAACAGAACGACTGCAATATGCATTCAACAAAAAGTAATAACTTCAAGCATTTGTTAAGAATCCGAATAAATGCGGCAAGATTGAAAGTGCTAAATCGAAATATCAATCGAAATGGAGTTTAAAATATGTGAACATAAAACACAAACCCAGATATAAATTACAGAATAAAATATTAAAAAGATGTAATGAAAATGATGAGAATAAGCACAGAAAAGAACCTGATCAACATGCGTGCAGTTTCGTATTCCAAACGCAATTGTGTAAAGATCGAATGAATTATCTTTGAACGGCAACGCTTCTGCGTCCCCGCAAACCCATTTCAATCGCGCTAAATCACTTCACTTTCACCAGAGCTACCTTTCAGAACAAGAATGAATATTTTGAATGGGAACATATTCAGTAACATAACAAAGAATCTTTTTTACAGCTTTGTTTTCATCATTCTCCAAATCCATCACTATTCAGCAATTCAAAAGCGTTTGAAAGACTTTTTCAGTTGAAGAATAACATAATCGGTTTATCCTAAAATGGGAACGATCGCAATCACTGAGATAAAAGCCGTTGAACAACTAATCAATTCACATTTATCAATCGTTTTATCGGCGTCAGCACGCATTTGACCAACATCAAGCATATTTTGATTTATATCGTAAACCGTCACCGAACCGCTACCCATGCTGAATTGTCTCTTTCATCATTGATAATATTCATGCATCAATATTTTCATTTGTGAAGTTGAAAGATGAGAAGCTGTCAACAATTTTCCCAAAAAATCAAAAAAATATCCGATAATATTAATGGGAAAGCTCGTTAAAGACAAGCACATGATTCGCAAAAGATGTTGATGAAAGTGTTGCTAACTGAATGAGCAAATTGGAAAAAAGCAAAAAGCATGACACAAGAGCTCTTGAAAGATCAATGTGAAACTTTGTTGGATAATATTTTTGATTTTCAGTTAGTACAAATACTTCCCCAAGTTCACCTGTAATGCTAGAGAAACAATTCATTGTCAATACGTCAAATTGAATTTTTTGATGATAGCTTTGTGAGATGATACGAAACATAACAACAGCGATAATAATAACATTAATAATGATAAATGAAGAGAAGAAACCAACCCTTTCCGAAATTTACGAACTGTTCTGAACGCAATATCACCAGTACCACCAGCAACATCCAATACACTTGCATTCCTTGTTAATGTCAATCTGTTCACAAAGTAATCCTAAACTGTTTCATTGCTCATTCAAATCGAAATTGCTTATTTCCTTCATTCTGCAATCTTTTACATTCGGATAAAGAGAGTCAAGAAAATGTTCAATCGGCATAATATATTAACATTTAAAAACAATATCACTGTTGAAAGAGTTAGATGTATCCGATCCTAAACATCAAATTTCTAATTGCGATGATCATATTTCTAAAATCATACGTCGAATTCAGATATTTTATAAATGTACTTCAAGCTGACAACAAAAATCAACTGAGAAATGTGATCGAAAAATACCTTCCAAAGCCGATGTATTCCCATGGACATGACATCGTTCATCATATCATATTTCGTCGCCACATTCGCAAATACCTGGTGCACTTAAATTTGCGAATTACGTGTTACTGTCTTTGGATAGGTGGCATCAAAAGCATGATATCAAGTTAATGTTAAACAGATACCTTTACGGCTTTTTTCGGTCTCATCAACCTGTTCGAAACCAAAGTGTGTCGATGCAGTTCTTCGGCAAGAACCATTCAAATAAGTTGGGCACGGCAATTGTTTGTTCAGTAACCTTCCGAACTGATTTAGAATACTCGTATTCCGTTGCATCTACAAGATTCAAAGAATAAATTCTATTAAGTCAAGTTTCGCTATCAATAACATACGAGCGCAGTGCACTGCATTCGTGACAGCTTCTCAAATACCAATTTGGAAGTCACTCATAAACAAGCGAGGTTGAAATGCTGCAACCCACTTATCACAATCAATATAACTGTTATTGTTGCTAACAGCAAAAATACTACACTAAAAATACAACAGATAAATAATAACAAGCACCTACAATGAAATTACTGACACTCAACAGATAAGAAGCAACAAAGAGTAGTGACGGAAACGGACGATGTGCCACGATGTCAGGAAACGTTCAAAAGATGATTTAGTTTATGATCGAGTTTACCAACTTGAGTGTAGGATCAAAATTCAGATAAGGCTTAAAGTCAATCCTGGACCTGAGTATAACCTGAGTGGAGGTGCCCACATTTTTTCACACGCGTTTGTTAAGACTCAATTTTCAGCACATAAAGCGTGATTAATTTTGCTAGTCAATCAAAAAATGAGTCGGAGCAACCATTTTATACCGGGTGGAATGTCAACCTTTTTATACCAGATGGAATGTCAGCTACACTATATGATCTACCGATGAGAAAGTGCGAATGAGACCAAACGTTAAGCAAGAAAAATTATAGATGGTGCGGACAAGGCTCGTGTGATTGATCAACGCTGTGTAAGCATTGATTGCAGAGATAGCTCCGTTGGCAAACAGACCTATTGCTGTATAAAACAACAAAGCAGATATGCCCGCCTATCAGAGAGGTCACTGCCGCTTGTTGTTCCTTATTCTTAATTAGTGAACGGAAGTTGGAAAGCGTAAGTTGCAGGGTATTTTAGGGTAGTCGGCGATTGTAACAATGGCATTTTTATTCGATCGAGACTGTGTAAATGAGCAGTGTTAGTTGACTCATGTCATGTGCCTAATTATTCGGCAATAATTCCTGTCATGCGGTATTTGGTATGGTGAGCTCCTCTTTTAACTACGAACCCGTACGTGCTCAATTCCTTCCACTATTGCTAGACGCCGCTTTCTAAACTTTCTGAATGCCTGAGAAGAATCCTCCGCTTCTCCGTCCGAAGTTATTCTCTTTTTTAATGAAATTTTGGGTAACGATTTTTGCGGATTCCTCTCATAGTGAAATTTAGGTGCCATCGGGTTTCGCCAGTTCTAGAAGACAAGAATGAAATAAGTACTTTCTTACAATATTTTGCCTTCCTTATAGCCATCTCACTTATAATCTACCTATAAAATTTCTTACGATGTGTGAGCAGGATCGCACTTTATTCAGAAATAATTTTTCAAGCATTACTCTCTTGTCAGTAGGAAAAATGAAAACATAAAGTTTTATGGTGTTGTTGCATTTTGCTTGTTGAAAGAAACAGGCATCATACAAACGATGATTATAGCATATCCAGTAACGTTCCATCCTTTCACTGATTCATCGTCGTCGTTCGACTACGTGTTATCGATTGAACGTGTTGTCGTCATATCTATATTTAAGGAAGCATTGAAGATTTCCTCAAAGAAGTCTATTTGATATCTTTCGAAATAACAAAAACATTTATCTCTACTAAACATTCGTCAAATGGAGACAACGCCATCAGTTCAGTGTGGTTTGCCACCAAATGTGTCGTTGAATGCAGTTGATAACTTATGGGAACGATACAAACCAATTAACGAATATTTGAAGGTATTTCAGCTTGTAACTGAAAATTATCCCATCCGTTCTTGCTTCTCGATCATCGTGTTGTTTCGCTCCTATCAGCAGTCACGATAAATTTGCTCTAACTTTCTTATCGTATTCGTGAATAAGAAAAGTTTGTAGGATTGCGTAAAAATGTATGTGAAAGAAATAATTGCACGTACGATACGCAATTTTACTGCATTCGAATGTTCTACGAATGTTCATGCATTGAAATATCCTAATTCTGTTTTCAGAAGCCATTAGGTGAAATGTTAGATCTGGACGTAGCGTATAAAATATGTTTACAACATTTAATGGCCACGAAAAGATTACTCCAGCAAAAGGTTCTCTTTGCTTTGTTGTGGTGCATCGTTATCGTTAACCTATTATTTCGTTCACATATTTACAGTCCTTATAGCGGTGAAATTGCTTTCGAATGAATCAGTATTTGTATTTGTTTATGTACTTATAATTAGTTTGTTTATTGTTTGTTTGAACGTTTATATTTGAAAAAATCTAGCATTTCTGTCTATTGATGTAAATAGCTGAATGCTTTTGATTCCATTTCGAATTCATCTTATCCCGTAAACTGATGTACTGATTAATGCTAATGCTTTCAGAATCTAACCGCTAACGAGATTAATAGGCTGCTAGATAAAGTAGAGCGTGAGCTGGTTCTAGCGCAGAAGATAGCATTTTGGAAACGAGATGTGCTCATTTCAACTGACAGACAACTGTTTAGTTTTACCGGGCGGAAAAGTAAACCTAAAATCGAAAAAGGTTGTTCTTTTGAACGCAGTTGAAATATTTAAGATATGCTTTCACATGGTAACCTTGAATAATCAGACCCTGACGCATAGCGTTCGAAACCTTGATATTTTCATATAAAGGTGGAATTGACCTTGATTTTTCTGTTCTCGAAAATTATTTTTATGCAGAAACACGATTATTTGTGCTTTCCAAAATATTCTCCTTTCCTCGGCCACAGTCAAGCGAACATGTATATGTGCATATTCTTTCGTATAGTGCTAGGTATGTTCACAAAATGACTATGTCGATTGAATGAAATCAATATTCTTCAGTCGTAACAGTGAAGCCAAAGGTTCGAACCAAGAAGACGGTAACGTCGAATGTCAAAGACAATGTCCGCCGTTCCGAAAGACGATCGCCGTTTGTGGTCAAATCAAAAGAGAAAGATGTTTCTGCTCCGGTAGTCGTTACCCCTGAAACGGTGAATTTTCCTTTCGGAGACTTCCACCTGATAGGAGTTTGCTTGAAAGCTGTCCTTATCTAAGCGCGATTGTTACCGACTAGTTGTAGTTTACTTTAAATCTTTCTAAATGTACACACTCATAAAACTGTATTTGGTGTTATGAATATAAATGTGTGTGATCTTACAGAATGTCTCATTAACGTGCCGCACGAAGAGGAAAGCCAAAGAAATGGACAATAGCCCAGAAAATAGTGCTGCTACAAATTCACCAAACGCGACATCAACTGTTCCTAAGAAACGAACAAGTGGTCGTTTGGTAAAGTCGTCAGCTCGAAAGAAACAACTTGCCAATAATCCTATTAATACGTCAGCTTCTGCGTTACCTACTGATGAACCTACTTATTGCCTGTGTGAACAGGTACAACTTTATCACTTTATATGTCGAATGAAACTTTCCTCTGATGCGTAAATTGTCATTCTGTAAGCATGTGTGAGGAGAAATGATCGTCATCTGAATACTTCATATTTTCCACGAGATTGCTAAATATATCCATTCATCGTCTCATTTTCTCAATCTATAATAAAGACACTGAACAAGAATTTTTGTGCTGCTATTTTTATGACACATTTCACTCGGTTACCTAATTGATTGGTTTGAATAATGAGAAAGATAACTTTCAGATATCATTTGGTGAAATGATTGGATGTGACAATGAGAAGTGCTTAGTGGAGTGGTTTCATTTCGAATGCGTTCAGCTGAAGGTGAAACCGAAAGGTAAATGGTACTGTCCGTTGTGTCGTGGCGATCGCTTCAACGTGCTTAAATCCTCACTCGCTCGATAGTGAATATCGCTTATCGTTTCGTATATCGTGACAAATTCAAACATTCTCATTTCAATGAAATTTCAATACTATTGAACCTTATTTCTTGTGTTTTCTCTGAACACTGAATCGAATTAATAATGCGTTCAGTTCTCTACCTCACTCATGTAAATATTCATTGGTGCATGGACCATTTCACGTGAATATTTTGAAATTTCATGTAATTTTTATTCAATTTTCGAATGTTTCCATCTGATATCGTTCATGTCGTCGCTGTGAAAAATAGTGTATGATTGTTCACCAATTTAGATTCATTAGTTATTCAGTAGTCGTGTGTAAAATTGTAGTTTTTCATAAAGTCGAAATTCTCCTTATAAATTTTTGTAGATTAACGTTTATAAATGTACTTATCGTTTGCATCGATTCACTATAATGATCTATCTGATTATGTATTTTGTGGGTTTTGCGTTAGTTTCTCTCGTCAGATTTGTCATGTGATGGTTTCAAATTGTACTATCTGTAAATCATCTTTCCTCAATTTGGTAATTCTGCAAATATTTTCACTGAAGTTGCTATGTTCAATATTTTTCGAAAAATTCTTCATGAATTTACGACTGTATTTTGTCGTTTTTAAAGCGAATTAGTCTGCTGTTATTTTTAACAGCTGGATATAGCTTCAGAGTATTATATGGTTATCGCCACTGAGATGACGAGCGAACAGTGTTCACCTGAAGTGTTGTTACTGTTTGTCACGAACTTGTGAATAATTCACTCATTTTTGAATGGTCACTCGTCGAGTCTCGTTTTACGCACTGAAAGCTGTAAATAAATCGCAATTTTCTGTGATATTAAAATACATTGCGATTATTATCGTGTTGTGTAATTGCACTTCCCTTTCTTAACTGTTAACTGAATGCAGCGCAGCATATTTGTGTAGTGGTAATTTTGTTACTGCATCGGAACAGCGATGCTGATATTTGCATATATCTATTGCTTTCACTAAGCAGTTTCGTTATTTCGTATTTTTAAATTCATTCATTCCTCGAAAAAATTTTCAGTGATTATTCTTATAGAATTTTCAAATAATTAACCTAAAGAAATGTCAGCAAAAAGTGCGGCTGGTGATGTACGCATTAAAACAAAAACTGGTGAGTCTTAGGCTTCGTTTGCGTAAGAATTATTCAGTTATTGTTTTCATTTCCCACTGAGACTTGCGATTTTTTCGATCCCAAGCGGGCCGTACTGTTCAGTATNATATGGAATCTATAAGTGTACACTTATTTCATCCAATGGATGAATGAACTTCAAAAAATTCATTGTCTTCAAGTCTGCAAAGTCTAAATTTTCAAACAATTGCGCGACAAAGTTTATAGTGTGATTGTGGTGGATTTGCTTTATCGGGGTAAACCTGAGATTCTTCAATTCCACTGCACACGCTTGAGCATGCACCATTCTAAAAAACAAAATGATGAAGTTGAAAGCAAATGATGAGTACGGAGTATTATTGCTTGCTGTCGGAAGCAATTGCAATTTTGGAATTTCGCTGTCATTGGTCATTAGGCATCGATTTCTAGTAGCTAGTTGAAAACTGTATGGGGTGTTTTTTGTAGCAGCAGTTGAAATTCATGAGTTATTTCTATGAGTATTTGCGTTTTGTCCGACAGAAGTTTTTATCGTGAACAGAGGGCGTACAAGCGACTGTGTGCTTGTTGAAGGCGAAACGTTCATCGCTGCGTCACAACGTCCGGATGGCACATGGCGCAAGGCGAGACGTGTCAAAGACGGGTACGTTCCACAAGAGGAACAACCACGTTACGAAAGCCCGGCCACGCAGACCAGTCGTGATGCGAAGTATCCGGTTGGATACGCACCTATTCAGCCGTCTGCCAAGGTCTTTTATTATCCAGTGACTCTCTCCTTCGTTCTCAAATCGTTTCGTTCTGTTAGCGTTCCGAATGAAACATCTCAATTTTTAGACTACTGCTGCTCCTGCAAAGACCAAATCAACGAAACCAACAGTTGCGTTCGAAAAACCAAATGCGCCCATAACGCCTCGAGATCACTTGCAAAAGAAAGTGAATAATTTGGGCCGTAAATTGCGTGATATCGATGTTCTTGAGGTATGCAATAATTCATTCTCTTTTCAACTTCAATTTCCAGCGATCACTTCTATTTTTCCGACATTTTGATTGCACGTGATGATGCATTGTTCAGAAAGATTATTTTACATCAAATCTTATACCACAGCTTCATTCCGTGTTATGCATGCGTATGTTTGCAATGCAATTGTCATACGACCGAAAGATGAAATTGATTCATTGAATGCGCATTTCTGTTAAATGGTTAGGTGAAGCACCTCACTACTGCATGTATTTTACGATGCTCAATTGTTTTATGATTTCATGTCGGCAGATAAATTCTCTATCACCTGAAGCGAACAACTTTCAAACTTTGTTTCAGAAAAAAATATCGAGTGGCGAGTTGTCGAATCCAGAAAAGACTCAATTAGAGAAGATAGCACGGAAAGGTGATATCGAAGAGGAAATGCAAAAGTTGATTTCCGAATTGGAACAATTGTAAATGATCATATCAGTTTGCCTCAGATGACTTTTTGTGGACGATAATTGGTGTAATATCTTATTGACTGAAATTATCATATCTGATTGTGAGTGTGATTTGTTGTAAAACAAAAATTTAGCGTAGATTTTTGGAATTTTGTAAAAGGGTTCGTTTTGCAAGTTACAAGCAATTTTCTGTGTGGTGAAGTGATAGATATTTCACAAAATTATTTCATCAGTAGAAGATTCACACGAATCCTTCTTTTTTATGTGTAAATATTTACTTGCTGGTAATGGCACTGTGACTATAATTTTATGGCTCACCAAATTATGCGCATAAAATATAATTTTATGTGCATAATTTGGTGAGCACAGACTTGGAAACTAAGAGTTATGCTGGATTTAGAATATGTTTGTGTTGAATTGAAATTTGGGAAAACGGTGTGTTGTTTTAAAGCGATGAATTGGAACATTTGTAGGTATTGAACTTGTTATTTTCTCGTGAACAATGAACACAGTGACGTTGCTAATATGTTGTTATCAGTGTATTTCGTTAAAATTTTATACGTTTCTGAGTTATGCCTCATTTTGTAAAATTGTTGTTTTTGTTTTCGTAATAATTGAGAGATCGATTTGAATGAATTTTTATTTGCTTACATATTATTGCTGCTGTTGATTGCGGTATCAGAGTACGATTTCGGGCGCTCTCATTTGTGAAGTTTTATGAAAATTTTGCAAAGCATAATAACACGAAAGGAAGATTCAATTAAACGAGGCCATAGCAAAGAGATCAATTGCACCTGCTCAGTTCGTAATGTAATTTTCTGATTAGTCTGACATCATTTTAAAACTTAATGGAAACTTGGAACTCTTAAATCTGAGAAATAATTTCATGTTTCAAATGCATTCTCAAATTTCTCTGATCTTTCGAAATATTCGCAAACATCTTGGCGAACTGATTAGAGCTGTATATTTTGATAGAACGTATATTTCGGTGCAAAGTCACCATCTTGATTTTGGTCTTTAAACGCACCATTACCGAATACACCGTCTTGAAATGTTGGCGATTGAGCAGATGTAGCATCGTTCGTCTCATTTCGTTCAGGAGAGTTCTTAGTAATACACAATCAGTGAAAAGAAATGATCTTCTTACTTGGTTACTGCCAAGATAATCCAGGAATGTCTCTGGAGCAACATCAAATTAGCAGTGAGAGAAGGCAAATGAGAAATGATTTTAAAAATTAACCAGTCGAAGTATCGCACTGAGGCAAATGAGAATGCAACTGAGCAGTATTCTTCAAACGGACAGTACCAATGTGAAAGGAACATTGACAAGTATTGTATCACTGCAGACACCTGAATCAATTTCGGTGTCGTTGCAAATTCCTAATTTGCGATTCTTTTCATAAATTCATCAGTGCTATAATTCATCAGAGAAACATGAGCGTTACAAGAGTAGACTATTAGAGGTCGGTTAATTTTGATTCAAATTCATCAGCACTTACCAAATTTTGTGTTGTCTACTAATCAGATTTTGAATGATAGTGAATGAGGAGGATCGATCCGTGAAAGAAAAACTGTATAATTAATTGATTCAGATTTCTGTGGAATACTGAAAATGCTTCCGAGGCAATTTTAGACGCTGATTATATTATTGATAATCTTTAACAGTGTTTGTGCCTGAAGAAAATATTCCGTTTGTGTTACTGAGCAGTTACTGAAAATGGGTGGTGTTGTTGGAACATTGATGCATTTTTCTTTGACTATTGAAGGCTTTGGTTTAATTCTTAGATTCTGAAATGAAGCGATCTGATGATGCAACTGGCATCCAATAATCATGCAACTGCAAAATGATTTTTTTTTTGTAATTACACTTTTCATGCAGAAAATAAATTGTATTTGATAGGAAAAGCTTCACGAGATGTGAGAGCTTCATCGCATTCATACGGTCTAACATCGTAACGCACACATTGGGTCATTTCCTTGGTCACCATTTGATGATATTCCCAGTGCGAAGTATTACCACTTTCACAAATAATTAACGGAATTTTTTTAATCGCACTTTCACAATTGGGTTACGCTCGAAAATTTTTCAAATTATAATTATTGAATGAATGTGATGAAGCGCATCAGCATGTGGTAGGTGCTTTCGAACGAGGTGCTATTAACGAGAGACGCAATTAACGAGAACAAATCGAGTTGTTATAGTCGAAATTCTGACTCGAATCAGATCTTTTTTTCATGCGCAAATGAATCGTGCGTAACAATCAAGGACGCTCTCGCTCTACCGACTGCACAAACATGCAATTGATTTACCTCAACAGTTCTCCTTCAAATTAAATACAAATTGCCAGACACTCTACAACCTACAATGAACACACCTTAACGATTGTCCAACTCGATTCGTAACATTTTCACCACTAAAAATGATGCATTATTCTAAATCATTTCCAAAAATTCTCAGTTCCTAACGCAGTAAGTAATTTCAACAGAATGTTATTATCAAGGCATCGACCACCTGGTCGACATCGATCGTTCGTTGGACTTAGTAGAATGAAACTGAAGAGAAGAAGAGGAATCCTATATGCCAAAAAATTTCACCGAAAATTTGGGTGAAATTCCATGAAATAGAAATCACTTGTTGTGTATCACCGTGAAAACAACACTAATCANCACTTGGCGATATGAATTATAAGGAAATGACACTTTGTTAGTCGCTTTCATTGCATTCTGCAACTCGGCAACCACTCATACATAATTTCAATCACGAATGTTAGTTGCTATGTTGTATAAAACCTATTGTTTTTCAATAGTATTCTTAAGCTGTATTGAACAAATGCTCATAGAATGATCAGTTCATTTTAAGATTTAAAGACTCGAATTCAATGAATTTTTTTGTATCTATGCGATATGATGAGAAGAGGATGAGGACCTGCGAACAGCATTCACGAGAAATTTCTTCGAACGAATTTATTCATCAGATGATTTCGCATTAAGATGCCTCCAAAATAATCAAAAATCAAACTGCTGAGATCATTGTCATTGCTTGCTTATTGCGCAATAATAACTCTCTCAAGAACGATACAAATTTCAAAAAGAAGTTTTGATCAGGAGTGGTCGCTCACAGAACAGGTTTTCACTTCACAGAACTTTGAAATAAAGTCACCAACAATAAGGCATTTTGAAAACGTATTGATTGCATGAGATAATGGCTAAACTATGTGAGATACTTCGAATTGCGCTGAATTGAATCGAATTTCTGACTTACTGAAGCAAAATTGCTCATCAACTTCAGACTGCAGCAAGACACTAACATGTCCAGTTCGACTGCAAACGGTTGAAAAGAAATCTCACAGAAGAGATTCTAAATTCTTCCATTTTGTTTAATAGTTTTTTGGTTCGAATGAAACATTTTATACATTTTCTTCAGTCATCATAAGTGCTAAAAATAATTTCATTGACAACGTTCTATTCGAATACCGTTCATTCGAATACCGTAGCAGGACAATCTTCGTGAACACTGCTCACTTTAAATGGACTTTTGCAATAATTATGAATGAGAAATCAATTATGAATCAATATGCGCAATTGCAACGTTAAACGGCTATCTTAAAAGTGACACCATCAAAAACTGGCTGTTGTTGATAAGTTCGAATTGATAAATTCTTACGGAGAACTAACCAAGTGAGATGACTTGTTTCATTCAAACCAGACTGCAGCATTCATTCATCTTTCTTCAATTCAATGACGCGTTGTTCGTGGTTTTACTATGCCTATAATTATTCTGTGAACATGGCTCGAAATTATATTTGACTTCGTTTATTGCTGTGCTGAGAAGGTTTTTTATGAGTTTGATTGTTTGATTAGGAGAAAAGCAATGAATATGATGGGTGGAAGTGAAATGCCCAGTTCAGTAGGTAATTTTAGTGTTCAGTGCGAGAATCATTGAGTCGTTACTAGAAACAGAAATAGACATTGTAGAAACAAATTATCTTGAGAATTACTATTGGCTAGTTGTACATATAATATTGTCGTTGTAAAAGCAAAATAAGTTGCTTACGTTTGATGAGTACTTTCAATGCTGCATTTTGAAATTATTTTTGAAATTAAAAAATTATCATTTGAAAATGGAGTGTAAGATGTTGCATTTGCTCTTTGAAATGAAGCAGTTTCATCAACAATAATCTGATTCTAATCAGTAAAATGATTGAATTAGTGAATAGATCGACGCGAACGATGCAAAAATTGATCATTGATGACGGTATGAAGCGCGTCATTCTCAAACCAGGTACATACTCCACTCAATATCCACCATCTAATTTTTGAATGCATCATCGATGTGAACATTACATTTTGTCTTTTTTTTGAAATTCTGTTTGAAACTACTGCAATTAAGTGTCAAATGCATTCAAAACGAAGATGCCTTCATTTCACAGTTCTAATCCAAATTTGAATAAGAACTCATACAGCTATCATCCAATTGTATTATTGTTTTGTTACTTTTATTCATACTGATCGAGTCAATATGAATAAAAGTAACAAAACAATAATGCAGTTCAATATCATAACACCATCAATTAATGGTAATATTCAGTTATCAATATCATAGCACCATTCAGTAATGGTACTATCGCAATCATTTTTCCACTGCTCTTGATCAACCATTTCATAATTTTCCTTATTTTATTAGATGATAACGTTGAAATGTGCTGATTAAGAAGTTTACATTTCAGGGCGCCTGAAGATTTATCGGACGGTCAAACTGAAACAATTAATATTTGGTGTTTTGAGTTTAGTTGCGATTGTGTTCACGGTGAGTTGACATTGATTGAGATTCGGAATTCACTCGATTCTACCCGCGAAACTCTGTTTTCACATATCCGTTCTCTTTCGAAGTCTGATTACTATCGAAATATGTTGCGTTACGCATGCAAATTCATATCTGCAATTTGACTCTCCAACCATTTCTAATTATCAAACCTCGACATGATGTCGCTTTCGTAATATTTTGGAAAACTTCCTTTGCCGCATGAAATTTCTCACCATCAGATGTCCAATTTCTAATGGAATTTCTGATATTTCTACTAAATGAATGAAGGTCGCAATAGCAATGGANATGAATGAATGTTTCAAATGATCCTTATTGATTGAAAAAATTATTTTTAGTTAGTGAATGCAGTTTCATTGCATATATTACCATCGGTAAAAAAGTATTTATTACCAAATCCGCAAATCGGATATTTCTCATCAATACCGATCGTTAGTTTTGAAACGTCTATGGCCAGACTGACGGTCGTTGATATTGCTACTCGAGATTTAAATAACAGGTCAGTTTGAATATCCTCTGAACTCACTTTCAAAACAGTCGGGTTGTGAAGACGCCAAAAAAATTTGAAACTGAATACTCCGAACCGTCTGAGATGGACATTGTAAGATTCAAACGCACTCCTGTGATAGCTGTTTGAAGAAAAACTTATTCAACACGCACACTTTTCTAATTGTAAGACGCGAATGTAGGTACTCAGAGATATTCCAAGGTAATATGCTGATGCTTCATTGCTCTGAAAACACAGTCACTAAAGAGTGATTCACTAGCCATGTGCAATTGATGAAGTTGCACAACAGAAATCTGTCAGTTGAGTGCACATTGCATATTTTTAAGCATTTTGAAGGTATTATATTTTTATTTTTGTAGTAAATGCAAATATCTTAACAAGGTATTCGCTCAGTTTTGATACTACAACGAGCAACAGGAATGGCCAATTTGATATGCTTAAAAATAATTTTCAAATTGTAGTAACAGTTTGAGTTCCCGTTTGAATTTGTTGACTCCTATCATAATCAGCAATCGTAATGTTGAGATGAACTTCTAATTTTATTTGAGCTTTTAGAACAACAATTTCTCGTCGACTGATGAATGCTGACAGGGAAGAAATCACTATATCTGTGGTGGCACTTATTCAACCGAACGGTCAGAAAAGATTAAGTATTTTAGTTTATAAAATACTTTCATATTCTCACAGCAGTATACTTAGTATATTCTTAGTAATTTAATTCATATTCTTAGTAACCATAAACAATTACCATCCATCCTCTACCAAGAATCGGAGCGATGCAATTTCATTTTTTTGTGCAGGGATTCATTCAAAGCGCGATTCATTAAGGTGAAGGAATTAAATCATGTAGATGAGAATGAGTAGTACATTACAGATATGACAAGTGAGAAGTTGGACACATCGAAACTGAAGGTTGATACAAGTAAATTGAGTGCTGCAGTGAGAACGTTGGTGTCACCGCCTTTTGCGAGTGCTTCGCTCAGTCTTAATACACAATCAACTTCGAACGTTCTCATTATTGGACTTGGTGGCTCACAAATGAACAACTTCTTACATCACTTCTTTCCGCATGTATACTGCTTACATTAGTATTTGCTGTTTATTACATTAAGGAAGACGCGAACAGTTTATTGAGATGCAAATGAACAACGGTTAAATTAACGTTGGCGATTTAAATGAACGGTTAAATTAATGGTGGTGTCCATTTACACTGCCACCTGGTTACGTCAAAGTGATTTCATCCTGTTTGCTTCACCTTTGATCTTATATTCGATATTAGTTAACGTATGATTTTTGAAAAAAACATGCTCAATTACGTCGAATACTAAATCCTTATAAGCTGAAAGTGCTGAAAGGGAGCACTGCATAGTATAAAACACCATATGGAAGAAGAATTTGGAAAGGGCAAAATTTCGCATTTCAAAAGAGATTCAAATGGAATCGTTGGAAGCTCACAATGAACTACCATGCATACAGTATGCATGCATAATTTTCATGTTGGTTCCTTAGTCATGCCGAAAATAAGTATGTTGAAGTGGTACCGAATTCAAATTTGAATTTTAAATATCAGTGTTCAACAGTTGATACTTGAACATGATCTTGCAGATGAACATAACAGTAATTGAATTAGAACAAACAATGCACGATATAGCTCTCAAATATTTTGGTCTTTCGGAGGATTCAAATCAGCGTGTCATTGTGATGGATGGTCTGGAATATTTGAAAGAAGCAGCTGATAGAGGTTGTCGCTTCAGAGTATCACTCTATTTTTACTCTCGACTCATACATATTCATAGTCGTTATTGAATCTATTTCATAAGAAGCAGTGTCCCAATTGACCTCCACAATCAAGGCTTTCTTATTTGTAATTAAGTAACGTTGAATCAAAATGCACGAAAACTTCTTTACGAATGTGCTGACCGATCGCTTCCAGGTGAAAAGTTTGACGCTGTTTATATAGATGCGTGTCCTACGGCCTTTCCATCGTCAGAAGAAACGCTGTGTCCCATTCACGGATTTCTTGACGATGTTACAATCGCTAACTTACTAGCGGTATTGAGAGGAACAGGTAGAGTCTGATCCTATGAAATTTTCTCCGAAAGAGTTCGATTTATCCGCAAGAATTAATTTCATTGGGACCTCTCATTTGATAGCATCAATGAGAATACCAATGCGGCTGATGAGAGCATTCTATGAAATTGGGGCCATCAAATTCAGTCACCTTCAGTTAAAACTAGCACTCACGCATCGATTTCGCTGAGCAGATAACGACAATACTGGAATAAATTGGGCTGATCTCTTTTTCGTATATTACCTTTAAGTATTCAAAAGCTGAAGCTTTTCGGGCAAATCAAATACAGATACATGTACATTCCAGGCACTCTGGCGCTCAAAATGTTGCTCATTACTCAAGATGTAGACAAAGCTGCTGAAAGGGTATATCTGTAACATCCTTGAATCAAATGATGAGATTATGCATTGAGTTGATGCGAATTTGTGACGATCGTTCAAAACAATCGCTTTCATTTTCTAAATAACAGTTCCATAAGTGATGACTGTTCAATGGTTTGGAAGACAAAATCTGAACGATAAATTGTACAAGAAACGAATCAGTGACTTTTCGTACCCTCAATGCCGCATTGTTCATCCAAAGCCAAAATGAGAGTCTAGCGCGTTATTTAAGTTGAAGTAACAGATGAAAATTAGTCCACTTGAATGGTAATGAAGGATGATTTTCAGATTGCACAACGATATCGAAAACAGTTCGCGGAATGTATTATCACGCCCATGTTGAGTGAATTCAATCGAGTAAGTTTACATCTGATGATGTTGTTTAATGAATGTGCAAATAATACACAGTTATTTACAAAACTTATGACACCAGTTTCCTTTATGAATACGAGTTGAAACAAAAAGATAATGGAAAGATTCACTTCGTCATATAATTTCGACTTATTTTATGATTGAAATACACCGCTCTGTTACAACTATCCAACTCTATTTATGATCGAATTCATGATCAAAATAAATTCATGACCAAATTTATTCCAGGTTCTAGTTTGCTCAGATGATCAAAAACGAAACCAACGACTCGATCGAATCAACTTTAATACGAAGCAAAATGAATTCTACAAAGCATTTAATTTATTTGGTGGAACCAATGAGTTTTGAAGAAAGTAAAGTTTTAAAAGTATGCTCCGATAGTGATAAGACACTATGTCCCAATCAATAAGGAAATATCGAATAGTTTCTAAACAAAACCAATGACAAACTAGCANATGAAACGGAACAAGAGCAATTACTGAAATTTTGAATTGTTCGATTAACTTCGTCCTATCTTAACTTATCTTTTCGACTATCCGTATAACAAATTCGTACTTGATCAATCGAAATATACCAGAAAGGATATTCTGATTGATAATAATGAATATGGTGATGAGATGATTTTTGTATCTCACGACCATCAACAGTTATCTCTTATATAGCGCATCTTAAATGGTAATTCTGATACTGTATTAATACTGTGACGGCATTAGTTGTATATCATTATGAAAACGCAAAAGCTGTCAAAACAAAAGTAGTTAAAACACTGTTTGTTTGCGATTAAAACGGTTGAACCCAACATCAAAACAAAACCTTGTATATGTTACTTTTGAATGAAAGTATATGTTAATTTTAAATTATATTCGAATGCTGTTATAACCATATCACCAGTTCAGACGATTGCGGAAACAAGTCTAAAAGCAACCCATAAGACCGTTCATCAGGGCATTTCAGTTCGACTCACACTAAATTATTTGAGGCATTCGGTTGTTTGCAGGGGTTAAACAATCAAAATGCTGATCGTGAGAAGTGGTCATTCACTGATATATCAAGTGAAGTCACAAAAATTTGCAGCTTTCCTTGCATAAGCAATAGAATTACAAAATATCTTCCACCACGAATGTGTCAGAGTAACATTATCAGTGTTCTTGAAGGAAGAACAGTTGGATTTGGAACTGTAGCGGTCCATTCTAAGTAACGACATCTGATTGTTTTTGTAAGATACTCTTCATCGGCATCATCATCAGCTTGAATCAAGAAGAGAGACGTATGAAAGGAAAACTGATACAATTGAGACATTTTAATTTTTTTCAACATATTTAATTTCTATTGGAATCGCTCTGATAAGTAAAAGCAATAAGATACTTGTAGTCAGCTTTAACAAAACTGCTGAATGAATAATATAAAGTATCCTGCATGCATGTATCGTAATGATCGACAATATCCAAACAGTGAGCATAATCATCCCGCAACATACATGCTTTTCTGAAACTGGAAAAACTGAAGAATCTGATGGTTGAGAGGAAAAGACATGTTGCTGCACAAACTTGAGGGCACCGTTTGAATATAGTGATCCTGATATTACTACCCTCTTGCACATAAAGATCAATGCAAATGCGGTGTATTGGAATAAGCGGCTCAGATACATAAGATGGCATCAGAAAATCATCAATACTTCTTGGACCAAGCAAAATCGCTCGACAACATATGTATTTTTCTGAAACTAGAGTTCCTGGGAAATTCGACGGTGTGAAGAAATCGCAAGGTTTCTAGGCAAATCTGAGGACACCGTTAGTTTGAAGATGGTGACCCCATTAATGATAATGCAATGTACAGATTGATCAATGTAGATTCGGTGTATTGAAATGAGCGCTGACCAACAAGTGAGATTACCTGGATTGGCCAGGCTATCAAACGTTTGTAACGTTGCTGGCCACAATGCTCACGTTTCCGTGCACATTGTTTTAGCCTCAGTTTACGCCACCCCGCTGGCTAGGCGAGCAGGCCAACCGAACACAACCGAGTAATTAATTAGTTGCCATGAATATTTTGCATAATTAATCGTAGCCAAATATCAATCCAATACATAATCAGAACTCTAGTAATATAAATATTCCGCCGATCGCTCGCAGCGATTGACAGAACAACCACTCGACGTTCAAGTAACAATAAACAAGTGAGATACCTTTAGAAAATCAGCTATTTCTCTGAAGGTGAGCAAAAGCGGCCGACAACATATTTACTTTCCTGAAACCATAGGGCCTGGGGAATATAATTGGGTAAAAAAATTGGAATGTTTTTGGGCAAATCTGAGGGAAGCGCTGGTTTAAAGATGGTCACCTTATCACTGATGATGTAATGAAGAGAATGATTAAAAGAGATATAGTGTACTGAAATGAGTGCTGCCGAGCAAGTAAGATACCTTCAGGAAATTGTCTGATCCTCTAAATATAAACAAAATCGTCTGACAACATATATACTTTTCTGAAAGAAGCGAATATTTGTGACACGGTGATAACAGAGAGGACTAAATCCGCAATGAATTATAGTGCCAGATTAAATGAATAGATAAAATATTTCAAATTGTCTTCGTTGATTTGAGTTTATGAAAAGCGATTGCAATAAGGATCATTTCTAGCTGATCACAATCATGCTTCTGATGAGGATGCCAACTCTCGCTTGTATATTTGAGAAAGAGTTTTACACAACATTTAGAAGCTCATGCCTAAACTAGGAGATCACTAGTCTTAAGAGAATGAGGAATGAAGCGAGATTTGCAGCAGGATTCACTGAGAATGATATTGATGTATTGATCAAATCTTAGATCATATCCATCAAAATATCATTGGATTTCATGTTTCTGAGATTTACGAGCCGGATACATGTTGTCGAGCGATTTTGATCAATGCAAGTAATATCAACGATTTTCTGAAGCCATCTCACGTAGCCGAGTGGCTCATTCCAATACATTGTGTCTGTACTGATCAACGTACACAAGAGGGTAGTAATATCAGGATCACCATATTCAAGCTAATGCTAAATGCTATGCAGCACGGATTCATTTCAGTTGGTATTAGTATGCATGCGACTTTTATTGCACAACAGGCCAATACTCTTCAGTTTGATTTCATTTCAGTGAGTATAAATTTGCAATTGACCTATTTTTCATCTAAGGTAAATTGATTACATCCATAATATGAATCCAAACTCTACCCAGTTGTTGTTCAGTGTTTATCATTGGTTTATTTCTCGTTGCATGGATCATAGTTAGCTGTAGGCACGCTCATTTACTCAAACTGAATTATTTCGGTTGAAATTCTTCTCGTTGTTCGAGAAAGCAGTCGTTAGTATGCGGAGAGAGCTGTGATGTGATCTGTTGCACCATCAAAATTGATGCTAAAGGATTAATTACACTGTAGACATAGCATTCGGAGTTGGCAACATGCTCACTATGAATCACTCGTTCTCGTTGATTGTTAACAATTAATTTGCTTTTATTTTCTGATGGATCTACTTTTTGTTTGGTTCTTTCGTTATATGCAAACATTTTCGGGAGCGATGAGTGAGATGGCGATATTAGAATAATGCATTTCTCAAGCCGAGATGATTGCAAGCACAGTCGTTTCAAAACGTTGTTTTCGTTGCAATTCGTGGTGTTTGGTTGTAGTTGGCTGACGTCCTAAACGTTAGTTACGTTGGCATTAATCTATCTCATGATTGGTTGTGCATCACGGGTGCGCTGTTGTGTTCGATAGAACCACCAATATAGCACGTACTCGGTTTCATAAGTGGGTTCTCTTTTCCGATTTTTGTATATTCGGTCAAGCTGTTTAATAGGTGTGATATTCTGGTATCTAGTCGACTCTCTTAACGTTAGAGTTATTTATTGTGGCTTACCTATTTGTTTACGATAAATTCATTGGCTATTTGCGGTGGTGAAAAAGTGAAATCAAAGATTAGTTCAGCGTTGAAGTGATTGCATTGATCAAATCACTGAAATCCTACCCGATTGACGTTAATCTCGTTTCCGTTGCTGCACTGTAAACTTCACCCGATTACGTAAACCCTGGACTAATATTATTTAAATTATCTGATTCGTTTAGTTTTTGGTCGTGGAATGTCTAATACGTTTGAGCATAGGAAAAGCATTCGGCTGTCTTTGAGATCGTATAAAAATTTTGATTGCACGCTCATCGATTACAGTTCTAGCCACTCATCTTGAATGAATACGAGCTAGGCGTCGTTCAAAGAAACATCCGTATCGTTCACAAAATTAAAATCATATTTTTTGAGGTGTGCCTTACAATCAATCCTAGAAGAACATCTTATCAGCTATTATCATCTTAATCCAATTCGATTGAAATGGCCTTTCGTAATGGATCAAATAAGGTAGATGTCTTGTTCTTGTTGTTTTCATATTACTTATATGTTAGTACCTGAAATATTGATAATGGTTTACTGCTTATGTGTTGTTCTATGAATCGAAATGGTGAGAAAATTTCCTGATTCTATGTAGATGCGTATGACGAAATTGAAAAAGGTGAATAGAAATGAAAATGAATTTGTTCAGTGCAATCTTAAGATAATTTAACCGACAGTGAATAATGAAACTCTCACTATAATCGAGTTATTGCATTCAAGGTGGCAGTGTATTGTTCGAGTATGAAACAAATTGCAACGAATATGCGTTCATTCTCAACGCAGTTTCGTCAAAATCCCCGTGTTGTTATATTCATTGATCGTGATTTCGGTTAGTTATTCCATCAATATTACTACAATGCTGTCACGAAATGAACAGTCAGAATTCGTTTAAATATTGCACTTGCAAAAGTGTTGATCTTCTAAGGATGCGATGTTTTTAATGATTTTTGTTTCACAACATGAATGGTTCATCCCCTAGTTACCAGTACGTGTTGATTACATCTGAGGACTACTGTCAGGACGGCTTGGCTATTTTACATTTCGCACGTTATCGTGTGGTACTTGTATGATCGTGTTTTTCGATCATTTATGGACATTCTGAACAACTCTATTCAATATATTGTTGATTCTGTAACCCTAATATGGCATTGCCAGTTTAAATGTTCCACACCAAAAGCATATCAGTGTCAAATCTTAGGTCGTCAGAACACATTGCTTGGACCTAGTAAACAATTCCCGTTTCTTGGTGATGTCACTTCTCAAATGGCGTTCGATCATGACAATGTGAGTATATTGCTGTTTTTGTTGAACGTTTTGTTTACGTGCGATGAATTGTACAACCAATAACGCAGTTGAGTATCAGTTTATCCTTCCGCATTAACCAATATTACTTTTTGCAATCGTAACACATTTTCAGATGGAATCCGACCTGAAGAAAGAAGCCAAAACGCAACCAAAACTAAACGTTCCGTCGGCATCGATCGGTGAAGTTCTTGAGAAATGTTCGAACAGCGTGAAACGTCAACCAACAAATTCGGATAATGAATTTGCCACTAAGAATGTCGAACTCACTGCTCTCGAATGTCCTCGATTGCTCAGACGAGGTTTGTCTCATTTTTGTGAGGGATGATCTGAATTTGAGCTGATCTAAGTGAATTTATGACTGCACTCATGAACATTCTTTACAAACGTTTCATTCAACTCTGGTTAATTGATCGAATACTGTTGTATGGTAATAACTGGATTTTTAATTCTTATGCATTCAAATGCTGGTATTGCTGACGCTATTCGAGTGTGGTTCGGGTTTGATTTGTTTGGATATTAGTTAACAGTGGTCGCAATATTGTTGTGAGGATGATATGTGACAGATTCAGATTTGAAAGAGTTATTCCCATCGATCAATCTCGTCGATCGTACGGTCAGCGTACTGAATTTATCGCAAAAAACTGATACGGATATGAGTGCGTGGAGTGTTGAAATGGAAATTGAACGGATGCAACTCACTTCTGCGGTTCATTTCTCACACTTATTTTGATTTTTTTAGATTAATTAGTTTGATCCGACCATTTTTGAGATTCCCGTATGAGCTTATTTCCTTCGTTCTTCTCTCTTCTACTTTTGCGCCCACATATTTGGATTGCCAGTTTGATGAAATGCGAGGATCGTCGCAGTCACGAAAATTTTGAGCAGTGAATTTTCCTGTCAACATTTAAGTTTTGTGTTGTTTCAGTTTATCGAATCAGCGACAGCTATTTGCAGTGCGTTGCATCGTCTTGGCTATTGGGCTGACTTCATTGATCCCGCATCTGGAAGACCGGTATTTGATTTTGAGATATTCCATCGTTTCTTTCTTGAATGGATGCTTTCGTTGCAGATCCTACCGATGGAAAATCGATAAATTTTGTTTAAACGGAAAAAATGTTAAGCATCTTTCCACTCTGATTCATGTCATTTGATAAGATGTTGTGGCGTTGACAAAGTTAAACTTTCGTTTCGATTCAGAACAGCGATTGATATCTTTCACATGTATTGTTTTGTCTTCAGCCCATGATATCAGGAATGATTGCATAAATCATCTGTCTTTATAATACTTGTGAAATTGAACTTCATTTATTTCTACTGCATTATATCAGTACATTTTTCAGTATCTTGGGAAGTTCACCAATGCAACGCTCTTCGAAACAGATGATCGATACCGCAGTCTTGGATTTAAGATCACCGATTTGGGATGTTGTAAAGTTAGTTTTAAGTGATAATTTTTGAAGTACCACTCATTAGGCTGCCTGGTGTTATCTGCCTAAATAATCACTTTTCGCTAGCACTGGGTTATTTTATATCCATTTATGAAGTTGTTTTTCAGGTTCTTGAGCATTCGTTATGGGGTACAAATGCATTTGTTGGAACGATTTTTACGGATGCACCAATTGATTCCGAAGCAATTTGTCAAATTCTAGACAAAGTGAATGCAGATTCAAGTTGAATTCATCCTCTGATTGTGCCAAGTAGTCGCTAAAGTTCCAACATGATTCACCTCGTTTTTCGCGTGTCATGTGATGTTTCGATTGGTTATTACCATTGGCAAATTCAGGAAATTTGAATTACCTTTCGAAGTCATGAATTCTCACAACAGAAAATATTTTATAATTTGCAGCATTTTCAAAGTGGACCCGATTTTCCTCATCATTGCCATATTCTTTTTCTGAACAAATGTTTTGTTGTCTCAGTGAAGAAATCTCACTCCAATGAAGTTTCATTCGATAGTGTTGCATTCTCGATATTCATTTTCTTTTGCGTTTATTATAACTGGAAATCGATTATCGCACTGAAATTTGACTGACTGCATGGTATTTCATTAAGCACTACTGTCGTCCGAAAATGATGCGAGTTTTAGAGCTTCATTATGGAATCAGTTGATCTAGTAGTTGCGTTAAATGATAAGTACCCTATACATGTATTCATATTCAAACGCGTGAAAATATTTGGCGAAATTTCTGATTGTTCCGGTCTATGCGACTATTGTACAATTGTAAATATTGCTTGACGAGGTTTTGTTCGCTTTTCAAATGATATTATTAACTGTATTTAATGCGCACTTCATGTGTTATATTTACTTTGGTAAATATGATTCGCTTTGTTCATATCGCGGTCATAGGTAGCGATCATGATGGGTGCCATTGCATTTGGCATGATCTAATTTTTTGTTGCTTTATTCTTCGAATCGTGAGCCATAGATTGGTGATGTGATATGTATTCATCTTATCTAGTATTGAAGTTCAGATAAACGCATGAAAATAGAACTGAATTATTCCTTCAAAATATTGCGTTGTTTATTGTCATTCAATTAACTTGCTCATTGTTTTATTTGAACATTTTGCGAGGGCCAAAGCATTGATCATTAATCGTTTCCTCTTCTTCAGTGCTCTACCGTATTTTGATGCTCTAAGCAGTAAGCATTTGTTTTGATCGTTTTTATATCACACATTATATGGTTCTGCATTATTTGGTACTCTCTTTTCTCATGAAATGATTTTTTGTTTGTGTTTTGGGAGTAAATAAATTTTGAAACGGTTTATCTTCGTGATGTTTCGCAGGGCTTTTGTTACTGTCAATAACGTTCTATTAAATGTCATAAAAATTTCACTGATCAACANATGCGTAAAGAGGCACTTTGATTTTTACTCTAAGCTGATCAATGGCAGTAATAACCTATTACGTGAGGTCACCTGTTTACTTAGCTGCCTAAGCGAAAATGATTATGGTTTACAAGAATAAACTTCCCTTATTACTATGTCATTAACTGCGGGTCATCGCTTATTTATACGTATTCTGAGTTCGCCGCTGGTTATGAGCTAAACGCATAGAAAAGAATCGTTTTGAAAAGATTGACTTCTCTCCGAACTAATCTAAAAATGTATCACCTTACACTGTAAAGGAGAAGTGAACAAATAGCAAAATGTAATCGTAACAAGGTTTTCTTGATGATCTCGTCTGCTTTGGTAACAGTATCCAAAAGCAGTTTTGAAACGACGCGGTTAGGCAGAGCAAGAGGAAAAAAGCTAATGTCAGGCGAATTAATTTATCCATAAGGTGCCGGAATTTGACATATACACTCGATCTGAATATATGCTTGAGGTAAACCTGGGAAGGGGATTCAATTCTCCACAAATTGGAAAACTTTCAACAAAAATGAACGTTTGGTTTTCGAAATTATAACTTAAAATGATTTCTCATTAAGAGATGGGCATTAGCGCTATTAGTGGAACAGCGGGTTAGCGCTATCGCGTTCCAATAGCGGAATTTTATAGTGAAAACAGCTTTATCGTCGTGGAATGATTTATGCTTCATTCCTGGCGGATATACTACCAAATTCATACAAAATGACTTGTGGTATGAATCCAGGAAATCCTGACACCACGAATCCCGGGGTCGGGATTCGGGACTCCGTGCAAACTCTAGTTGTATGATATGAATATCGTTTCCCACACAGTAGCATCGCTCTTATCTATCTTTTAGTTATTGACTCATCGGCAACTGCATCTGATTTCTTCTTGATGATGACACTCGGTGACAGATAATGATCTCGAAATTTGTGCGTGATATGGAAATCTGCAAAATTTTCTTTTAAAAATCGTGGACATTAAGTGTTTTCAACGGTACACTACAATATTGAAAAAATGTTCCCCACATGGAAAGTAATTCAAAATAGACATTTTCCATCACTACCTGCGGCGAACCAATAGCGAAACAAAATGTTCGATCCACTACAAAAAACCAAAAGGTGGAACAGAATTAAGAATAAATATATGATCATTTCAAATTCTTTGCAAGTATACAATGGTAACATTAATGCATCCAAGTAGTATGTATAGGTTTGCGGAACCATCATCTGTAAGAAGGACATCAAGAAATCATTGAAGCGATCTAATTCAAATGACGGAATTCATTAAAACAAACGATGGAAAACGGAGAATATCTCCTTTTTCAACATAAGAGAAACCGTAAAAATACCTTTCCCACACCTCCTAACTGATGGGAACCGTTAATGTACCATATTCTGCTGTGGTTCATCTTAGCCTCAGGTTTACTCCAGAATCGACATCAGCTCGCAAGGAAGTTTCAACCGCAATGGTGAGGCTCATCCACAGTTCAAGTGGTTGTTTGCAGTAACGTTTCCTTTCATAGACATGTTTACCGCATGACTATCTACAACAGTGGTTCTCATGGGGGGGGGGGGGGGGAACCCCCCCTGGNGGGGGGGGGGGGGGGGGAATCACCCCTTGGATGCTAATTTGGGGTATCAGAGAGTAATTGAGGGGATCGCAAACTAAAATTCCGTGCAGTTGTTATGTTATGATGGAGCGCCATTGCCATGGTGTTTTTCCACCTGAATCTGTATTTAAACGCGGTTCGCTCATGGCAGTACTCTTCGTCATCCTATTTCTTGAGTATATTTGGCTCGTCTAGGCCTAAACAAAAGGTGTTTCGCAACTTCTTTGATATAGTGGCTGACATCGTTCCTCATGATCAGTAGGAATTGATTGTTTCGCGGTGCGGCAGAAAACATCATTTTGCTTTCGCGGGAGAAGAGCGATTGTTTCCGAATTCACTCATTATGATTATTCGGTTTGCACTGAAAAGTTTTCTCAAGTTGGTTAATTACCGTACATGATGGGATTTTGGTTCGCAAATGAATTTTTTTGAACGAAGTAACTGCTCAATTGTTCATAAGTATCTGGTTAACGACAAATGTGTATCATGTTGTCATTGTGCTTTGGGATTCTCAATTGAAATTTTTTTCATAGTTATGAATGAGATACTGATTGTTACGTATTTTACTGTTTTCAAACGTTTTCCAAAGTTGCATTTGTGAACATTAGAGAGTGAAAAAACAATAATGAATTCTATAAGCGAGTATACGATTAATTAAATTTGTTATTTGGGTTTGTAGAAAGTGGAAAGTTTGATAGCCATGGACGTGTCGTGTATGGCAAAAGATCGTTATGATGTAGTTGTTCATTAGATTTTGCAACAAATTTGATTGGAATTTTGGAATTTGTTGTATAGTGAGTTTGGTTAATCAATGAATTCGTGAGCGTTTGGTGATCACTAGAAATTTTTGGTGGTTATTAATCCGATTGTACTACGTGTTTGTGCGTTTCTGATGATCACTGGAAATATGGCTTTGGGTAGCGAAGTTTGGTTTGGAATTTTTGCAGCGAATTTGGTTTTGAATTTTTGCAGCGAATTTAATTTGAGTTCTAGTGACGAGTTTAGTTCGCGGAGTTCGCAACACATGGAGTGTATACTTTTCAGAGAAGTTGCTGAAAATTTCGAAACTGAAAACGGTCCATTCAAATGTCCATCAGGTGCACGTTTCGGCAGTCGTCGATGAGATGTGCCACGTGTCGCAATCTTCCATCGTATTCATTCCGCTCGCGATTTCCTGTGAATCAGGACATCTCGGATGGTAAGTTTGAAGAAATTTCATAGAAATTTCTAATGGCATTCAAACTGTCCCGAATAGAAATTTCTATGAAATTCCTGTCCCTTCATCAATCAAAATACTTCACCGTTTGACTTCAAATCGGTCTCGTTCAGAAACTATTAATCAGATTCAATTCATAGTGTAATGGTCAAATGTAGTTGCTTTATCTTTGCGCTTCTTCTATATCAGCGGTTCTCACAGGGGGTGAAGCATCTCTTGAGGGTAATTTTGGGGTGTCAAAGGGGTAATTGAGGGGTCGACGAACTAATATTTCGTGCAGTTGTTATTGTGTGCTGGAACGCATTGAAACGGTGTTTTTTCTCTCGGATATCTAAACGCGGTTCGCTTTTGACAATACTCTTTTTCCTCCTACTTCTTCAGTATATTTGGCTTGTCTCGGCCTAAGCAAAAGTCAATTCAAAATATTCACAGGTATTTCGTAAGTTTATTGATTTTTTGGCTGACATCTTTCCTCATGAACAGTAGGTTCTAACTGACTATGAGTTCTTTGATGTGGCAGAAAAGATCTTTTGGTTTTGTGGGACAAGAGCGATTATCACTGAATCCATTCGTTATGATTATTCGGTTGCACTTAAAAGATTTCTCAAAACTGCATATAATGAGATTTTTGGTACCTTAATGAATTTTTTGAACGGAGTCACTGCTCTTTGAATGTATTTATAAGGCAAATATGAACAACTTCACAATGTTCGAAAGACTCAATAGTTCTAGATGTCAGTAGCTGTCTGTAGTTCTGGATGCTGGAAATAACGGCGGATTGTTACTAGAAATTTTAGTTCATTTAGCATTGCCACTTTTTCGATTGCGCTTCTTCTATATTGAGAATGAATTCAGGAAATACTTTCCTGAATTGAGTGATGATGATTTGAATTCACTTTCTTAATCAATTTTGTGATATGTCCATATTTACATTATAAGATTAATCAGTCGTAACTTTCAGTCGTTCATGTGACCAAATGTTTGATTTGTGGAGA